TCATTGAGGTTCGTCAGCCTGATATTGATAATTTGTAATGGAAGTTTCATTTCACAACTTTCACAAATCACATATCACATTGTGCAACGCTTCAGTTGTTGGTCCAGTGAGTTGTTTGAGGCTCTAGGACCGGAACTGGGGCAATGGTCGATCGCACCAAATACTCGGATGCGGACCACACACCGGATCTGCCCCTGCGCCAGATCTTCGGGCGCCAACGCGTCAATGAGGATCTGTGCAGAACGGTGGCTGACGCCGGGTTGCTCACAGTTGAAACTTTTTCCATGCTCGGAGACACAATTGCGGCAGTGAAACAAACGCTCAAAGTGATGATCGCCGATGACGACAAGCTTGGCGCTTCAGAACCCGCTCGGGAGTTAGCCCTAACTGCGTTAGCAGCGGTATGGAAGACATGCTCCACCATGCAGGATCACTTTGCCGCTCGCCGCGCCAAAATGGAAGAAGACCCCAACAAGGTGCCGGAAATACCCGGCGAGGATCATGCTGAGTTTCGCCAGTTGTTCATTGATAGGCATCCGGATGTGGTGCTCCCACACCATAGGGAGCCGCATAGGAAGTTCGTGGAGAGGCTCCAGCGTGACTTTCTTGTTCATGGGGCAGTCAATTTTTACGAAGTGGGTGAGATGCGGACCCGCAATGAGTCGATCGCTCAGAAAGCGGGCCTTAGCAAAAACGCTGAGGACCTTCTTCGTGTTGTTCAGATTGACCAGCCTGCTGCAGCAGCGTCGGAGTCACAGGTGATGGACAAACTCCACGCCTTCTTTGTGGCACTGGAGTATTTGAACATATGCGAGTTCTCCTACAAAGCAGGCCCTCTGCAATACCTGTCCGATCTGGAAGAGTGGCGCCACGAGAACCGCGGCCTGGCTCTTTTGCTCTCCGCAGACTCATTGATCCGCAAAAAGGTCTATCGACTCAACTCAGACCATAAGCAGACCTACCCCCATTTCTCAGATGCACTTAAGGAAGTCTTGCAGCACCACAAACAATTGTGGAACGACGCTCGCTCGAGCGCAGAGCTGGACAAGTTCAAGCAAGCGCACAGCTCGGCCCCTGCCACTCCACCTCGGACGGGCGGTCGAAAGAGGTCTCGCTCCCGGACACCTCCGGCTCCGACACCAAAAGCCCGGAAGAACAAGGCCAGGCGTGAGAGGGCTAAGCAACAGCTCAAAGCTCTCAAAGGGAGTCAGGAGACCAAGAAAGCCGATGCACCTAAGGGCAAGCCCACCAGAGATGCTCGGATTCCGGCTCCGGAATGGACCAAAGTGACCTCGTTCAAGTACTCAGGTCCGAAAAGGTGCCCTTTCTACAATTGTTCAAGTGGATGTCGCTTCGGTGATCAGTGCAAGCACAAGCATGCCTGTGTTGAGTGTGGCCAGAGCCACCCTTATCACGGGAACCACTGAGAAGACGCCACTACACCTCCGGAGGTCTTGACCCCGCCTCCGGGGGATTTTACAGGGGCATGCTCACGCCTTAGTGACAAGGGCCCGGCCCCTTTGGAGCCCAGCCCTTTGAGTGGTCCAGTGAGCTACTCTCCTGTTTGGTCAAGCTGGCGTGATGTACCCCAGGATCCTCAAGAAGTTCGCCGTCATGGCACATGGTTTCTGGAGATCTTTTCCGGCAGCGCTCGCCTGACTGAACAAGTGAAGTTGCTCCGCATGCCAATCCTCCCACCCGTGGACATCGAATGCTCGCCTTGGGTGCCGGTGCCACAGGACGCTCTCGACGCAGCATTTTGGGATCGCCTGATGAGTCTGGCCCTGATCGGAGCCCTTTTCTTTGTTCATTTTGGGACACCTTGCAATACGTTCACTTCGGCACGCAAACTAGATGGAGGACCTCGTCCACTGCGCTCGGCTACACAGCCCATGGGTCTGGATGACCTCTCTCCAGAGAACCAGGCGCTGGTGTTCCTGGGAAATTGTTTCCTTTTCAGGACTGTGGAGCTAGCTCTCGCTGTTTTTGATGCTGGCGGCGATTTCTCGATCGAGAACCCCTTGCTTAGCTTGCTTTGGCTCACGCCGACAATGGGCTCGCTGCAGTTGAGAGCCCGCACCATGGACGTGGACTTGGATCAGTGCATGTTTGGAGCTCCCTCCATGAAACCTACTCGTTTGCGGGTCTCGCATGCTGCTTTTCTGGCCCTTCAGTGTTCCTGCAATGGCTCGCATACGCATGAGCGCCTTAAGGGCAAAGTCTGGGATCCCAAGCGGAAGAAGATCGTCTTTCGTACCAAGCTGGCACAGGAGTATCCCTTTGTGCTCTGTGCCGCAATGGCCATGGCTGTTCAGACCATCCGGAACAACCCGCTCCAACAATTCTCGGAGTCGTTCACCTTGACTGCGTTGGATCGCAAGCGCAAACTGGGAACTCCTGTCACCTGGACTGGTCACCGACAAGAGCAGACGGCTGCCAAAGCTCTTCAAGCCGGGTACCAACTGAAGCGGGGTGCTCTCAAGCCTCTACTTGAGCTCGAGCTTGAACCAGGTCAGGCCATTCAATGGGCCTTAGAGGTTGTTCACCCCTTCACAGTGCCCTCGCCGCTTGAAGACATGATCACGGCTCCTATCGCGGCTCTGGCCGCTGGCCCCATGCAAGTCCAGGAGGCCAGAGTTCGTACCCTGGAATTTTGGGAGTCGGAAGCTCATCGTTTGCTGCCAGAGTCCCTCAGACGGATTGCAAAACAACCGGATCCGGCTTTGCGCCGCCTGCTCCGTGGAGCTCCAGATGATCAACCTGCCACGCTGGGGCAGGTCTGCCATGTAGCTCTATATGAAGCAATGTTGCATGCCTGCGGCTCCGTGGATACAGAGTTGCCTCTGGACCTGCTCACTGGCTTTCCCATTGTGGGCCCGATTGCTCAATCTCATCGGTGGCCGGCGTACACAAAGCCTCAGCCTGCACTCCCGGTGCAACAAGCTCTTGACAAGGCCTGGGACCTGAGGAAGAAGATCGTCCGCAGAGTCGAGACGGTTCCAGTGTCAGACAACCTTAGAAAAATCTGGGAGGCAACGCTCGAAGATTGCGAAGAAGGATCCTGCATCGGGCCATGGTTTTCAGAAGAGGAAGTCTCTCGACAGTTAGGCTGCGAAGATTGGATCCCAACCCAGAGATTCGAAGTTGTTCAAAAGAACAAAGTGAGAGGCTGCGACAGCGCTACGACAAATATGATCAACCAAGTGACAGTGATCTCTGAGAAGCTCCAACTGCCCTCCACGGACACCAATGTGGCGGCGATCCGCACGCTAAGGTCAGCTATGCCGCTCGACAAGCTAGCTGGATGGGTGCTGGACGAGCGAAAGGCATATAGACAGATAGCCGTGCGGCCTGATCAGAGAAAATTTTCTGTTATTTGTTTGAAGGATCCGAGTTCCGGGAAACCGGCATTTTTCATCATGATAGGCCACTCATTTGGGCTCGTCTCGGCGGTATACAACTACAACCGTAGGTCTGCCGCCATAAATGAGTTCTTGTGCAAGTTGTTCAACTTAGTGGCTTTTAACTTTTATGATGATAAATACGGATTCGAACCGGTCGGAACCGTCAAGAGTGCGAGATTGGCAGCAGAATGTGTTCACCTCTGGCTCGGTGCTAAATTCGACCAGAAGAAGCTTCAGCTGTCCTCGGCGCCTACCATCCTTGGCGTCACCTACAACCTTGACAGCATGCAGCTCGAGATCAAAGACGATCGAAAGAGTGAATTGACAGAAGAGATCGTTTCGATTTTAAAAAGTGATCAACTTGACCCTGGTACAGCAGGAAAGATCAAGGGTAAACTCATGTTTGGGGCTTCCCAGTTGTGGGGTAAGATTGGACGAGCCTTTTTAAGGGTGATCTCCGAAAGACAGTATTCGAGATTCCCAACGGGCCCGTCCTTCTCGCTCGACAAGCCGTTGAGAGTTGCCCTCGGACACTGGTTGAGTTTGATCAAAGATGGACCTCCGAGGACCATCGATCGACAGGTCTCTAAGAGAGCTGACGCAGTCATTTTCACTGATGGATTCACGCCGGACCCTCGAATTCGGGCACAGCAGAAGGAGCTCGATCGAGTAGGCGCTGTTCTTTTTGATAGGAGACTAGACCACCCACTACAGTTCACCGAAATAGTTCCAGATCACGTCAGCCAGAAGTGGCTCCACAGAGCAACTCAAATCATTCCGATCGAAATGGTGGCCCCGATTTTGGCCCTTTGCGCGTTCCGGGAACGGTTGTTCAACGCGGACGTCATACGTTTAATCGATTCGGAAGTTGTTGAAGCTGCTCTAGTTAAAGGCTACTCTAGTAAAGCTGATGTCTGTGAACTTATCTCGGTATTTTGGGATCTAGCTCTCGAACTTCGTTGTCGTCTGTTCATCGACAGGGTCTCAACGGACGCAAACCCAGCTGACTGGCCGTCGAGAAACGACCTCGATCGAGGCGCGTCGGTTGGGTGGGTGACTGTTCAAGCCAAGTGGCCCGAGTCGTTGAGTAGATAATTAGGGCCTGGGATCTTGTGACCTCACCACTGATGTTCAGGTTAGCCTCTCCCTTTGATGAGTTTTGCTTCGCGGTCTGGTTTGTTCAAGTGCTTTGTTTGATGAAGTTGAACTCGTGGAGAGTCCTGTTCACAGTGATGAACAACAACAATTTGAATGACTTTGGTCGCTCGAC